ATATATATATATATACATCAGGAACTCTCAGGGATTATGGAGATTCTTAGAATAATATTGATTCTAAAATAAGTAAATTTGTCGAATGATTATTTAATTTCACAGTTTTTAGTTATTTCTTTGCACAATAAGCTCAATACACATGTTTTCTCCCCATTTTTCTCATCCCAGTGAAACATCATAAGTATTGGGTGCATGAAATCAGGGTGAAAATCAGTTTAACCCTCTAAACCCCAGGTGCTTTCTGGGCTTTTTTTTGTTTTTTTGCTCCTGTCACATTTTTTCTCGCTGTGGGCTCTTCTTTTTTTTTTTTTTCTACTGCAATGTAAAGTCATGCACATCTAAGTACACCCAGTTCCAACTTCACCCAGTACACATTTGTGCAGATGTACTGAAAGAAAGCTTCCTGTCTGCTCTGCGTAAACACAGCCTGCAGTTCAGTCAGAAAGTCTATTGGTCACATCTGAGTCTCTAGTGGCTTTTCAGTGCCACTGAGGCGTACAGATCTTTTTTTTTCTTTATTTTTTATTTTTTTAATCGAATCTAGCGCAAGTAAATGACTTATTTTTGAACATTTCAAAACAAAAAATGTAGAGTAATGTGATTTTAAAGAAATATGAGGATTTGAGGCTTATATTTGGTTCATTTTCCCAAAGCAGCCCTACAAGGTGTGTCAGAAAAGTTTCAGATATATATTTCAAATCCAAACTACAAGTTTTCCCCTTCCAAGTAATCTCCCTGAAGTCACTTTCCCAGCCTTCTCTGCCACGCCGCCATGCATTCCTGGAAGGATTCTTCCGGGATCCTCCACAGCTCCGTCGTCACAGCCATCTCGACATCGTCCACATCTTTAAAACGGGTCCCCTTGATGACCCCCTTGAGCTTGGGGAAGAGGAACAAATCCTACAAAGCCAGGTGGGGTGAGTAGGGAGGTTGCTCCAGCACGGCGATGTTCTTCTCAGCCAGGAACTGTCGGATGCTCAGGGCATTGTGAGCAGGCATGTTGTCATGGTGAAGCAGCCACGACTTGTCCTGCATCGACTCTGGCCTCTTCTTGTGCACTGAACCAAGCAAACGCTGCAGGATCTCTGTGTAGACGTGTTGGTTGATCGTCTGAAGGGAAAACTCGTAGTTTGGGTTTGAAATATGTCTTTTGTGACACCAGTCCTGGAACTTTTCTGACACACCTCGTAAGTAACGCACAACAAGTTCAAGGACTGTCAGAAAGTTAAATATCTGAAAACTCAGGAGAGTTTCTTACTCTGATAACTGTGTAATTTTGGCAATTCTATATAACAGCATGCCTTCAAAACCTGTTGGCGGATTTTCAAGAAAGTTATTTTTTTTTTAAGTTTGGGTGGAATCGTTGGAGGATTTCATATTTAGCTTTCAATATTACTTGGATGCACTTACATGTGTCTCATGTCCCTCCCTCAGGTTGTACGTGAGATCTTGCTGGATGTCCTGGACAAAGTGGTGAGAGTACTCCGGGTAGAGGTCCAGCACCTCGTAGAGCCCTTTCAGATTAACACACTGCAGATCACAGTAGGTCAGGGCTTTCACGTCTGCGTTGGTTTTTATCACCCGATCATCCAAGGACAGGTTTGCTCCGATCAGGTCACCTTTACCTGCTCAGAGAGACATGGACAAGATGAGTGAGAAAAAAGGGGTCGCAGAACACTGTTCACACACTGCTAAAAGAGGTGGAAGATGCAGACGGTGTAGCCTCTAATGCAGACGCTCCAACATGTTTCAGATGTTCCATTTATTGAAGGGCTTGTGAGGGAGCACTCAGCTTGGAGGGTGTGAGAGGTTTTGGAGCAGAATAATGCTGAAGCATTAACCCCAGAACACTCTCAGGCCTGAACACACGCCAAGAGAAGATTCGCTGCTGTTTTTTTTTTTTTCACTACCACTGGCCCCAATTATACATTGTTTGAAAGCACAAAGCCTCGTGATTTGAATGGTGTAAATGATTTTAGGATTGCAATATCACAGCTACAACAGCAGCAGCAGTTTCTTATTTTTTTTAGTAAGAGTGCATACACAGTAACATGACAGCTTATTTTTCCTGTCGTCTAGCAACACATACTTGTTGAATCACTATGTGCTGCACAGTATTTTCACAGTAAGAGATGGATGAAAAAAAAAAAGCTTTCAGTCTTTTGAGTAAATAAAGGAGCAATGCCTGATGAAGGTTTAGCACCAGAACGTTGCAAATGAATGTATTTTTGCAAGTTAAGACAGCGTGCAGAGGCAGCACGGTGATGCAGCCGTCTCCTCGCAACAAGAATACCATTCCATACCTTATCTGAGTAGGGAACAGGTGTATTAGTTATAATAATATATCAATTCATTCAATTCAATTAAAAAACTTTGTGTCCAGGGAGAAATTTAGGAATTAATATTAATTTGATTTAACATCAACACCCCTAAACTAAGATAATATCACTATATATCACACTAAAAAGCTAGCTTTAGTTTATTCTGAAGCTGCAGCCAAAAGTTCTTACAAAATTCCCTTTGTTTGGATCAAAGTTTAAAAAAGGGAATCTCACCTACTTGATCTTTAAAGATAATGGACAGTGGAAAATGAAAAACAAACAGAAAAACGACTCTTTTCTTACGCTAAGTTTAAAACAGATAAACAAAAAAAAACGAGGTTACACCAAACCATAAACTAAGCTGTTTCTCACTTTGTTGCATTTGATTTTTCGATTATCATTAGAAGAATGGGTCCATTTTTATGTGTTGTCTCTTTAGATATTTGGAATTTGCATTTGTGCCGCTAATGTGTCTATAAGCTACACTGAATTCCAGTCAGTAGGTTATCTATTGTTATTACACATATCTTACAATAATACTCTAAATCTATAATGGTCTATAAGTTTTGAATAGACCAACTAAATTTACATGTGAGGAGGATACGCAGCAGCTGAAGAGATTTTTCACAAACTGACAAGTAAAAGTTGTTCTTATAAATAATTATCATCCATCCATCCATCCATCCATCCATCCATCCATCCATCCATCCATCCATCCATCCATCCATCCACCCATCCATCCTCCATCCATCCATCCATCCACCCATCCATCCATCCATCCATCCATCCATCCATCCATCCATCATCCATCCATCATCCACCCACCCATCCATCCATCCATCCATCCATCCATCCATCCATCCATCCATTCATTTACCCAGCCACAACTAAGAGGACATTTACATTAAAATGTGGGGATAACTTCATTTAAATTACACAATTCCTATGTATTAGGGATACTAATTAGTCATTAATGTTTTTCTTTCTTCTACACAAAGCTTCTGCAAGATTTCAAAGAAGAATATATTTTGGTGTGGCCCTTTGGTGTTTGAAGCATTCACTTCATAGTCATTTATCCATTTAACGCTACAATTTTGGGCTAAATTTCTTATTTTCATCACACACTGTTTTTCTGTATGTTAATGAAAATTGCCATCAGGTAATACTGGGAGTCGTGCCTTCCCATCACACAACAGTAACATCACTATTGTGGCAGTTGTGCCATTAAGATGGCTTCTCTATAAAGCCTGATGAAGGTCGAGCACCAACACGTCAGGGAAAAAAATCTATTTTTTGCAAGTTAGACAATGTGCAGAAGTCTGTTGGAAACTTTTTCAGATCTCATGAATAAACATGTGAAGAGTTATTTAGTCTTCATAATTAAACAGTCATCTGCATCGACACACACTGACCATAACTGTTTTGGTGTCGTTATTATTTAAAAAGCACAATGACTCTCGGTGCTTTGACTGAATGTGACAGTTTGACTGAAGGGGCTGTTCCCCGACATACAGGAGGAAGCTGAGCCCCCCCGTTCGTCTTCGTGTCCCTTAAGCAGTGATAAATTATTCATTATGGTCATTGTGAACTGTGAACGCTGCTAAATTACACTGCAGCTGATGGAGTGGCAGTCATGACTGTTCTTATTCTCTCTCTCTCTGTCCTGCCCACTGCTTCTCAGCTCAGTCATTATTCCCCTTCTCTTTCCTTCACACTCTGTTTCTAGGTTTCTCACTGGTCCAAAACCCCTTTTCATTGTCTTCTATTTCCTCGACTCCCTTTCTGTGTTCACTGATTCTTTTCTCTCACTCTTTTTTGTCTGTTTCCATTTTCCAACCTCAGTCCTCGTTGTTTAGTGTTTTTGATCCTCTCCTACTTCTTTCTCTTCCTTCTTACCTCCATTCATGTTCATTCATTCCTTTCCCCCATTTCACTTATTACTCCTTTCTTTCTCAAATTTACTTTTCCCTTCTTTTTTTCTCATCATTTCCTCCTACATATATCACTTCCTTCCTTCTCTTCGACCTTCCTGTTTTCTCCCTTTCTCCCCTATGTTTCCTTTTTGTCTTTCTTTTTCAGTTCTCTTTCCTCCTGACACTTTTTCTTCCTTCATTTCCTTCCATCATATTTTCCTTCTTTCTTATCGTGTTCCTTCCTTTTGGGTTTACTTATTTCTACGTATCATCTCTGTTTGTTTGTTTCTTTAACTCTCCTTATTAGGCTTCAGCTCATCTGTATTTTCTAGTTTTCACTCTCCTCAAATCTCCTCCTTCCCTTTTATTTCATTTTCTCATCCCCTCCCCTCGTCCACTTCACAACCTTTCCTCTCCTTTCTTTTTCACAACTTGATTTTTCTACATCTCATTTCAATCTCATCGTTTCTCTCCCTTCTTCCTTTCAGCTCTCTTTCTCTCCATCCAGTCACTGAAACTTTGGTTTCTTTGTGTTTTTCAAACATCCCGCTTCAACTTTCTCCTTTCCCCTCAACCTCTCGCTCTCTCCATAGTGTCTCTTCATTCTCACCCACACTCTCTCTCTGTTTTTTGGGGTACTGAGCTGCAGCCTTGTTGTGAGACATGAAAAAGGGTGGATATGGAAAGACACGCAGAAAGAGAAGAAGAAGAAGAATGGGAGAGAAAGAAGCTTTTTCTCCTTCAGTCAGACACTCAATGTCAGCCTGACCTTCTGCACAGTCAGCAGGCGAACACAGAGACAATGCTCTCCGCCTGTCAAGCCTCCACACACACACATGCACCCACATGCACACACACACACAGAGACACACATTCTGTGCGGCAGTAAACAATTCCACCTACTCGATACACACAAACGCCCAAACACATGCAAACTTTTGCTTTCAACAGCAGCACTTGCATGCAGGTGCTGAGAAAAACAGCAGGTATAGACGCACACAAACACAAACACCGCGCACGCAAAGACTGACACAGAGATTGTTGAGTACCACTCCAACAGAGACAAAGTGATGGATAGAGTTTCAGATTTAGATCTTTAATTCACTTTCTGTGACTCACTCTCTCTCACACTCAGACTTCTGGCGTGCACACACTTGTGCCAGATTGGTCAATAACTCTGTGTCACGAAGGTCAGATAGCAGAAGCCATCGGGGTCGCTCACGACAAGAGGTTGTGCTACACAGCAGATGCGCGTGGTCGGAATCGCAGCTCAAAAGATTTCGCATCTTGTTTGACGTTTATTCTGCGAGCTGTGATGTTTTTGGTGCTTTTCACTACAGCCCAAAAATGTTTACACAATTTGTGAGCATCGGGGGAAATCTCCAGGACGCAAAAGCAGGTACACATTGGTGCAGATGTACTAAAAAGGAAGCTGTGATGCAGACTAGAGGATGTAACCATCTGTCCACCTGAACGACACCAAATCAGATCCAAAACAACATTTGCAAGTGGCTGCTTTACGAAAATGTAAATTAGAAGGATGCTTTCTGCTGATGTGATTTTCTCATTTACAGAAATATTTTTTTGAATAGTGAAGAAGCTGAATTGTGTAGCATATAATGTGTAGGAGCAGATTTCGTAACCTTTTCTCCATCTATTCATCCGGTAGCTGTACCTGCTTTAACCTGTCAAGGATTGTGGCGGTTTGGAGCCTATCTCAGCTGACTTTGGGTGAAAAGTAACAACCAAGCCTGCCCACGCTCACACCTACAGCCAGTTTATAATCACCAGTTAACCCACCATGCATGCCTTTTCACTATTATTCCATGCTGTTGGATTATTTCTTGGCATTTCTGCCTTTATTGACAGTGGTGGGGGGATATTCTGTGCAACAAAGGCCCAAATGCTGCTTGTTTCAGGTCCTGATCTAAGCTAATGGGGGGCTGTTTGAACAAATTAAAGAGTATTGCTGGTATTTTAATCAAACTCTTGGCAAAAAAAGAGGGCAAACCTACTCTAAATGTCAAATAACTCCTATAATAACAGAGATTCATTCGATGTTTTTAAATCACAAACTATTAGATTGAGATAGGGAATAAACACTGGTCAGCCACAACATTAAAACCAGGTGATTTGTATAACACTGATATTATATGGATGTTACTTTGACACCTACCACCACCTAAACATTGGTACAGATCAACCATAGCCCCCATCAGCAACACTACTCCCAGATGGCATTGGCCTCCTCCAGCAGGATGCTCTGGAAAGGCTCCAGAAGCACGACAAAGGACATCAGGTGTGAACTCGGCCTCCAAACTGCCCAGATCCTAATCTGATGGAGCATTCGTGCGATGCACTGGAACAAGCTGGATTCATGGAGGCCCCTCCTGCAACCCACAAGATCTGCTGCCAGACACCACAGGACATCCCAAGAGGTCCCCTCGTCCACGCTTCTACTTGTCAGAGATGTTTTGGTGGGACTAGATGGATCTACACAACATTAGGCAGGTGGTTGTAATGTTGGAGCCAATGGGTGTAGGTCAAATGCTTTAATTAATTAATTAAAGTCTACTAGTTCATAAGAAAATTAAAAAAAAAAGGTGACCTTGCCCTTCATTTTGATGTTTACTTCACCGATAACGCACTTTTGATGAACCTTTAGAAATGCTCACTGTCAGATTGTCTGCTTTCATTCCAAGCAGTGTTTGATTACTGAATGTCCTGCGGTTTTGTGTTTTAATATTTGCATTTTCTATGCCCCAAGAAGAGTAGCACTCCTAATTTCACTGCATGCAGAGCGCACAATGACAATAAAGGCTTTCTGATTCTGATTCGGAGTCTGATTCAGTTCCCTGTCACTGGTTACAATGGCTTGTCTGTTTTTCTTTTATGTCTCTTTTTAAGCTATTTCATCTACTTTTTCTTTCATTAGAACTTCACATAATGACTTCTGCTGCATGAATAGAGCAGCCTGCTCGATAAAAATGATGATCATTATAGTTTTATGAATAAAGACACAAATATCTTTTCTTAGTTTGAGCTGAATTGCTGCTTTCGCAAATGTTTTGGAATCTCATCCCTTCATTAATGAGGAGCCAGTTTCTATTTTAGCATGCTGCTTGTTTTTGGAATTGCTGATTTAGGGTTATCCAAGTACTGAAACAGACCTTTTAAGTATGATGTTGTTCTGTTTCTGTTGTCGAATAAACACAAGTCAATGCTGGAAGCTGATACTGTAATTAGCTGCTGCTACAGCAAATCAAACATTAATTTAAAACTGCAAGTGAGAATGCAAAATAAATTTGGCCCCGGGTGCCATATAAAGACTGATTTTAACAAACAACAAGGAACTGGGCTGGATGGCACTGAACTGGTCTAGACTAGATGCAACTAAAAGGATCCAGCTCCAGTGAATTGAACTGATTGAATGGGCTTGGACTCAACTGGACAGCACAGATTGAACTTGACAGAGACTGAATTACAATGCTGTGGAGTAGACTTGACCATGCTCAGCTGGACATCACCGGCTTGGGAATGGTCTAACCTGTATGGAATTGGACAATCATGGGTTGAATGGATTACTGGTAGATAATATAATCCAATCTGCAGATGCTGAACGCTTCTGTCTGTTTCAACATCTGCCTGCCAGCTCTGCTCAGCGAACTCGTGAAAAATAATTTTCAAGGTAACATCAAGAATAGCTGTATAAATGAGGAACACAGCTCCCCCCATTTGTATGCACAACTAGATAAGTCCTTCTTCAACTCTTACTGCTTGAAACATATTGTTGAAAAATGACATCTAACTAGAGCTGATTTTATAGGAGCTTAATAACAATAGCCTCTGGGATGAGCTATAGCCCTTAGGACGCTGTAATGCCCCTTTCTTTTCATTTCATTTCTAAACAATGAGCTCATTTACAGGACTCGGCTTTAGCATAATGAGCCACACAGAGCTTTATTATAAAGCCTGCTGCCGGGAGTTTCTTTGTAAAGGTAATAACAACGGACACGGAGAGAATCTTGCTTCGTCTTTTCCACCGAAATTCATCCCTTTATCGTACCCAGGATGGCCAGCACCATGCCGTCTTTCAGCACCTCCATAGAGCCCGAGCAGACAAAGAAGATGGCCTGGAGAGCGTCGCCCTGTCGGAGGAGGTACTCCCCGGGAGCGCAGAACGAGGTCTTGATGTGCAGCGACAGGGAGCGAAGGCAGCCGCGACTGGCAGAGGCGAACAGTGACAGCTCCAGGATCTCCTTGTTAAGGTGCATGGTGATGTCGGATCGCAGCTCATCCGGGAAGTCCTTCAGCAGCTGCGGAGATGATGGAAGAGGAGAGGCAGAGGATGAAACCGACTAAAAAAAAAAAAAAAATAGAGAAAGCAGGCAAGAGACTGGAGGGGAACACGACAGCTGTGAAAACACTCTAATTCAATTTCCAGCCTTGGTTGTGTCTTATTTGATTCAAATTAAGATTGCTAATAAGTTAATGACACCCTTAGAGAAAACATATAAGGTAAAACAAAGAAATTCAAACTGAAATTAGTATAATTGCTTCTACGCAATTGTAGAAATCAACATGTGGCTGCTGCAGACATTAACATACGATCCCTGTCACGGTTAGAAAAAGACATCAAAATATTGCATGTCTGTCCATCTCTTTGTCAGGAGGAAAATCTGGGGCTCACCGTCACATAGAGTTGATCAATGAGTCATCAGATGCAGGCTGACTTTAATCAACATGCCCATCTATAATTCATCTGTCTGGGATTCATCATCATCACTCCATCTAAGCCCTGGTCGGAGCTCTGACAGCTGTCTCGCAGGCATTCACAGCCCGGAGGGACGAGTTACTATTAGACTCCTGACTGGCTGCCTCTGTTTCCCCCTGAGCTTGTCAAGAAAAGGTGTTGTTCACTCTCTGCTTGTGTTTTCTCTAAATGCCAAACTTAGTCACTCGTCTCTATTTTTTTTCCACTTTCTGGGGTTCATTAATGTGCGTTGTCCACCGTCTGCTGCTGTTTGCTTTAATTCTGTCCAATATAAGACGACTGAAAGGAAACAAAATCTGGTTGCGAAAAACCACAGAGCAGCCCGAGGGATTTCATTTGACATAGTAATACCAAGATGAGCTGAGGGTAACTCATTTCTCACAGCTCACAACATTGTCTACCAAATGGCCAAGAAGATTATTACATGTCTAGCTCAAGGAAACAAAACATCTTGTCATTCAAATACCAGCATGTGTGAGAGAAAAGTGACATGTTTCTGTCTTCGTCAGTTAGCGCCAAGAGCCAGAACATGCTCCTACATTGCGGGGGGACTGTGTAGTATCGATCCCCCGTGTAATGAGCTTAAATGTGGTTGATATGTGAGTAGTGAGGAGTATGTGATCTTTCAAATGAATTATTGATCCCTCTTTGCTGTGCTGCTGCGTTTCTAAAACGCACGTGATGTGCGAATGGAGGGAAAGATTTAACGCCAATTTAAGTGAGCACTGTACGAGACGGCTGGTTCTGAAACAAAAACATTTCTGGTTTTTAATCAGATTGTCCTCGCTCTGTACCTCGTTACAGTCGATGCCGTTGTTGACCGACCAGGTCGTTTGGAAGTACTCCAACATTCGCTGCTTGAGGCTCTGCGGCAGATGATGGACGCGTATGAAGTCCTTGAGGTCTTTGGTTCTGGTGTGGTACTGGGACCAGCGTGAGTACATCCTCTGGATAATGGCTGTCACGTTACCAAAGACCAAAGCATGCATCAGCGCTGCGGGTGAGACGAGCGAGAGAAGGGATGAGAGTGACACTGGTCATAGATAATGGAGCATAAACATGAATGAAATATAGTGAAAGGCTCACAATGGATTGTCAAGACAGGAAACCAAAATGGAATATTTCTTCCTAGCCTCTGGGGCTACAGAGACACAATTAGTAAGAGTAGAAGAGGAGGGTTTTCATGAACAGTTAAGAGTGCAGTTCAACATTAGTAGGAGGACTGGGAGATGTGTACTCAAACCATTTCAGTGGTGCACTAACAGAAACCTCAAGAAGTCGTCATGCTCTGCCATATTTTTGTGTCACAGATATCTTCAAACATAAGCAATACAGAATAAGGCCCAGTGCCTCAGTGCCTGTATGTTGTGATCCAATGAACAAACTATGTAGATCTTATATTTACATTCATGTCTTGCACCTCTGCTCCTCCCAGAGGAATATCAGTGTCAGGACTGACAGGAGCTTATTTGATCGGTATGACAGATACCTGGCCTTTCTACGCCCACAGATAATGTATTCTCCTAATCTCATCCAGTTTTCAACTGTGTTCCAGCTGCGCCACACATGAAAGCATGAGTGTTGTGCCAGCGATCGCTGTTTCTGACATGTACCACTGATGAGAGAAAATTGTGCGTTTAGCCACAGAAAGCTTTAAAAGTACAGTTTGCTGTAAGGTAAAGGTTCATTCAGAAATCAAAGGAAAATTATAGGAGGCAAAGTTATTCGCATTTTGAACTGTGCAGTGGAAGAAAAGACGATTTGCCGTTCAGAATTCAATTCCAGCTGCACATTTGACTTGCGGTCTGCTATAAATATGAACAGGTGCTTTGTGTTAGTTTTCTTTTTTTTTTTTCTTTATACAAGGGATGGCGTCGCTGTGTTTTTGCAAGCACATGTATGCATTGTGTGTCTGTGACTGCTACTACCCCCAGGCAGTCGGAGACATTTAGCATTTAGCCGAACCAGAATGGGGAGTGTCCACAGGGAAAACCCTCCACAGTGACCTCTCTTCATCCCCCCCAAAAAAAGGAAGCTAGTGTATCAATCCAGTTTAAACCAGATCAGACCATCCTGCAAATATTGTATTTATGAGGCAAGTGATAGGTCCAGGAAGGAAAGTCGGATTTTGTTGATATTCCTAAGTTGTGGATGTGAATATGATTCTACATGCTGCAGTTTCAATCTTTTCTGAAAATGTAGTTTGTATTTTGTCCTCTCTGCAGGAATCTCTGAGTCTGGAGCTCTGATCTGCAGTTGCTGGCCTCACCGACCTCCAGGGTGTTTATTGTTCTCCCATGCATTGTCTGTTTTCTCTCTACTATCCCTCCCTTTTGCCTCACCCCAAATTGGAGGTTTTTCTTTCCTGGTAAAGTGGAATTTTTTCCCCCCCACTGTTGCCAAGTGGCTGTTCAAAGGCATTCAACAGCAAACTCTGGATTTTGAGTTTTTTTCCGTACAAATCTTACTGTGTGAAGTGCCTTGAGAGAACATATGTTACAAATTGGTGCGCTATATTGTAAATGTGTCTGCCTTCGGTAATGTGACGTTACATATACGTCATTTGCGTACCTCCGATAAGCATGACACAAACAGAGAAGATCTTCTCAGCGTCAGTGTTGGCCGACACATTGCCGAAGCCCACGCTGGTCAGACTGCTGAGGGTGAAGTAGAGTGAAGCGATGTAGACGCTCCGGATAGAGGGACCATTGCCAGTCCCATTAACTCCTCCTATGGCAAAGTAGGGCGACTCCAGACGCTTCCCCAACTCATGGAGCCATCCTGTTGTGAACACAATAAGCAGAGAAAAAGATGCTTTGGTAGACAACTGGTAGTAAATAATTTTCATTAAAGTAAAAGAACAAAATGCACCCGATTACAAAATTTCCACAAGTTTGGCACACTCATTTTCACTGGTCATCTTAAAGCTCTGTGTCACACAGCATGTAGATACAGACAAACCAAACAGCATTTGTGGTTAGATGTCCTCCATGCTATCCAGAACAATGGATTTCACAGTGGAGGCAGATCAGATGCTTGGGAACCAGAACTGATCCCTGGTCAGTACGGTGTGGAGACATGCAGCTGATCCCAGGAGAGGCTCCTGCAGACACTGATGAATGGTAATTGGATGGGAGCACCTCATAGCTGCCCGACTTCAACACTCACTTCGGCATCAGAAACGCATAATTAGGATACAACACATTAATCCTGCCTCATGCACTGACCTGTTATTTTATGACACTGAAATGCAGTAATTGGAGACGAGAAATCTGCATTGCTCTCATGACCCAGTCAATGCTGACCTGGAACCAGTTATGAAGACGCAAGAGCGAGGTAATTGCAGGCAGTGCAGCTCGTCGATACTGACCGGAGATCAGCCCAGGGGGCCTCATTATATGAGTGACCTGGAGGCTGAGGGGGGGAAGCCTGGAGGCTCCGTCATTAATTATGAAAAGAATCAAACCATTTACAAGGATTTTACAATGCACACACAGCTGATGTAGCTGTTGCTTTCCCATTCGATAAATATTTAACAACAGACTGACGAATCAATAAAATCAATGAGGAAATCATAAATTTAATTTAGCTGCTAAAACACACAATCTGTGCATGAAAGCCACATCCACGTGGTGTCTTTATGTCGCTCCATCAGGATTATACTATTGCTGCAACGCTTTATTGCCAAACAGCCAATCTATACTTGTGCTTCATCCTAGATGGTTTTGATGCATAACAAACATGTGAACATCTTACTGAACAAAAGTGCAGCTTTCATGCATCAATATCTTACCAGAAACACTGTTTGCTTGAAAATAATGAGAAAGTGCTCTGTCGCCAGCATGTTTCAAAAATGTATGTGACAGATACATCAGATAATTGAGTATAAAAACAAAAACAGACATTTTTGTGGTGCCTCCATCAAAAAATAATTTAAATCTACTATAAGGCCAGATGACCAAAATCTAGCATTTCAGCTTCACAGCCTTTATTCTGAGCCACAACCACCAAGCATTTCTTTTACGGATTTTTGCTAATAAAAAGTCTGGTGTTTCCTTTTTATTGATCCAGTCCAGAGCTTGACAAACCTGGATAATGGCTCCCTCAGCTAGAAAAATACCCCACCCCCCACCCCC